TCTCTGTCTTCACCTCGACCTATGAGCTTTTTCACCTTTCCTTCCACCCCTGTCCTGTTGATGAGTGGGAGTGAGGGAGTGGCTGGGTGGGCGTCTGGCAGATGGCCAAGGTCAACCCACTGCAGCAGATTATCTAAAGGTGAAATGGTTTCAGCATGAACAGATCAGAACCTGAATTGATCATTTCTTTCACCAGACCAGGCCCAGGGGGATGTCATGGCTCGTGCCAAGGGCCAAGTGTGCATTTTTCCTGCATCTCGGCAGGTTTTGTTTCTGCCTGTGTTTTAAACCACTCGCCCAGAATGAGTACGTTTGCCAGGGGTGGAGACCAACTTCAGAAGTCTCCTGTAGCTCTGCAGAATTCAGATCTATCCCAAATGCTCTCCAGAGAGTCATCTCAGGTGTAGCATCAGCCCTGCTGGACATGGATTCACTCTGGAAGAAGCTGTTGAGCTTTCTCTCTGCTGCATTCTTGAGAACAACCTTCAATGTATTTCTACTAGCAGAAGGCTTCTCAGACCTTCTTTTCCCCTGATAAAGGAGATGCAGTCATCTTGTAGGACAACAGTGTGAAGGACTCGCTAACTTCTGTGTGCTCTCTATTAGAGATCAACCCAGAGGAAGAGTTTCTGCTGATTGGAAAAGTTGAAGTGAAGGCACAAAAGCTTAGCTTGTAAGCTTTTTGTTTTAAGGGTTGCCTTTTCCGTGGGCAAAAGAACACTCCCTTCTTTCTTCCTGTCCATCCCTGCAGAAATGAAAGGGGAAGTGGTTAATAAAGTAAATGAAAGTGTTTTCAAGCCATTAGCTTTCACTCTTTTCTGGATTTTCCTGCCGTAGTAAAGCAAAAAAAATTTGCGTTCATGTTGTTCCACTAAAAAGAAAGGGTTTGAGTCATCTGATCAAAATTAGACACTCAAAGCCTTTGCCTTTAGCTGCAATTCAGATCAGATGGGAAACTCCACTGAGTCTCACTTCCACCACAGGAGACACTCTCCACCACCGCAGTTCCCCGGGGAGGTAGATGTTAAATATCTCATCTGGACACACGTGTCCACAGCTGGAAGACCTTTAAAGGACGGGCACCACCACACCTCTCCTCTTTCCCTGCTGTTGCTCAATGCAGTTGTTCCCCTAGCTTGATAATCCCAATCGCTTTTACAAAAAGACCATGGGAATTCCTTCTTACTCCCTACATCCCATGCACCGTCATCCCTCAAAAAGTCACATACCACGAGACCCAGCAGGCAAACCCAACATCTTGCAGATGTTGTCACACAAAAGAACACATCCCCAGCAAACCTTGTTGAAGACATCTTCCTCCACCTGCGTGAAACCCCCGGGACACTACAGCCTCATGGCTAGAAACAGGCCTGTTCAGTTGATCAGCATGGCAACAGGCACTCTGTCCCACGTATGTCTCTGCTTGCACTGTCACTAAATCAAGAGCCAGGCCAACTGTGAATGGTGTTGATGTTTCATATGGCTTGGAAAGTGCAAATGACAAAACACAAAGCTGGAGCTTGACTCATTTGCCCAAATATTGACATTCTGATTAATCTGAGAAATCCTAGGGTATCTGAGACACCTGCACAGCATTGGGAGCTACAGCACAGGATCTTCTGGAGAAGTGCAGGGTCAGCCTGGGTACTCGAGAGCATCTCAAGTGGCATTAGACACCTCTGTGTAGGTGGCTGAATTAGTCCCTGGAAATCTAGAAGACGGAGACAGATCAGAGAGTTGTTTGTTGTGGTTGCAATTCCTGCATATTGTGGCTGTGTGGGAAGGACGCCTGTAACCAAGGCACCCAGAAGGACCATTTTTGGGGTAATGGAGGGGAAGCGGGGCAGACACATAAGGGGAGGGGAAGCAGACACATACAAGATGTCAGTAGTCAATGCAAATGGCTGCTCAGTGCTGGCACAGTATGGAAAGCTGCTCTGGGTCAAATTCAATTTTTTTATGATTGAGAAATAAAACAGTCAAAAACGCTTTTGCCATGGATAGTGTTGATGAGCTCAGAACAAGTTCCACAGCATTGCTAGGAGAAGAGACATAAAATGTCTGGGAGCACTGCTAAAAATGAGGCAGTGCTCTAACTCTCTTGGCAGCCATGTCTGAAAGTAGTAACTGGGAAGCGTGTTTTCCCTTCTGCTGGTCCAGCAATGGTAGGTACAGGCTCTTAGACCCATGTATCCAGTAAAAGGTCAACATCAACATCTCCCCTTCAGCCAGAATAAGCAACTACGCTTCCAAAGAAAAGAGAGGCAACACCAGAGACTACAAGACCCTGTAGAGCCTTCTGCTTCACTCAAGACCAGAAGCAAACAAAGAAAAACATCACCAGAGTGAACAGAACCACAATCCCAGATGCTTTCATGGATCAATTCAGAGCAAAAGCATTTGCCTCTCAGACAATATGGGTAACTGCTGTAATTTATTTCAATTTATACATTTCAATGACTTAGAGAGTTAGTATATTAAAACACTGTCAGAACTTTTCTGATATATGAGATCTGATACATATAGACACCCAGACAGACAGAAGCACTTCTATCTCTTCCCTATCAGTGACGGTATTTACAGCACATCACAAAGATCCATTCTTGTGTCCACCTGCTTCTCCTGTTCATCCATATTTCACCCTGCAGGGGCATCTGAGGTCTGACAGTGTTTTTGCTCTGCACTGCAACTTGTCAGTGGCACCAAATAGGCAAGACACACTACTGCTTCAACTATTTTTTTTTTTATTTTTCTTTGGAGTGGAGGATGTGTTACTGCTTCCCCTTTTTTAATATATTTTTCTTTGGAACGGAGGATGTGTAGTGCTCCCATGAACATGGTGGGTTTCTCACAAGTTCATCTTTCTTGAGTTCCCAGTCTT